TCTAATTCGCCTCTAATCACTTGTAAATGCCGGTCAAATGTTCATCTGCAACACACAAGTACACCGCACGCCAGCTGCTGCACACTGACACATAACTATATATTTATGTGTCAGTGTGCAGCAGCTAGCGTGCGGCGGCCAGCATGTGACAGTGTGTTGCAGATGAGCATTTGGACGGCATTTACAGGAAATTGTCGGCAATAATAGGTGAAAGAGAGTAGAGAAACATTAAGGCTTTGGTAGTAAATAGATTTCGTATTTATTTACCATTATATTTTATTGAAACGCTCCAAGTGCCTGTGGCCTCGCACAGCCTGGTCGGGCTACACAACACGGCCATAGTACATTAGTAGGGCCTAAGACCACAGACACTTGCAACGTCTCAATGAAAAAAAAAGGTAAATAAAAATGTATTTACTACTAGTCTTAATGTTTCTCTACTCTATTTCGCCTAGGCTATTATTGCGATAATTACCCGTAAATGCCGGTCAAATGCTCATCTGCAACACACAAGTACACCGCACGCCCGCCCTGTGCACAAGCTCTCTTATTCATGTTGTTTGTGCACAGGGCGGGCGTGCGGCGTACTTGTGCAGATGGAGTCGTTGTCGTATCAGGTACTACAGATATGTACCCGAGGTAGCTCTAGTACTATAGCCCGCTTACATTAACTGCCGCTGGGCTATAGAACGACCCATGGGGCATGCGATGGACCAACTTATCCCCGATTATATCCGGCTATGAAACGTCTGTGGTAGGCAATTAATGCCTCTTATCCGAAGTGAATATGTCTTAAGTTATAGCCGCTACTAAAATTAAACCTCTAACTATCGTTGCAATGGTATACTTGCGGTATTTCTTGTGAACAATTCCGTACCTACACCTAACCTCAGCAGATTCCGTACCTACACTTAACCTCAGCACATTCCGTACCTACATGTAACCTCCTCCAATTACGTGCCTACGCCTGACCTCCTCCGATGCCGTACCTACATCTAACCTTGTGCGATTCTGACCCTGCTATAGTATGGATAGTATCAGCAGTAAATAACGACAAAGGAGTTTGACACGTATTGGATGCTGATTTCACTACATTTTGTCGTACGAGTTTGATGTTATTACCCCCCCCCCTTTCCTATTCACAGCAGTTCCCCATATTCACATTGACATTTGCGCCCAGGTGCTATCATGATATTCATCGTCGTGTTGTCACGGCGATGCAACATCAACCCCGACAACGTGGCGACACCCATCGCTGCGAGTCTAGGCGATCTCATCACGCTCTCTTTGCTCGCTAGCATTTGCACGGGAATCTACTCTGTGCAAGGTATTGCCAGCGCAATGGCACTCTCCTACATCAGGGCAAGCGTCTCTGTAGATGTAATCGACGATTTTAGTTGCCATCGTAACAGCTGTAAGACTAAACGTCAAATACATGACTCGGTATGCGACCGTTAGTGGGCTGTCCTGCTCAGCTCGTACTGTCATAAGCTTTGTTCCGCTAACCTTTTGTTTGCGCGTGAATTTGTTAAATAAATCCTGTTGCATTGTAATGTATAAAAGCGATATCAAAAGCTATTATCTCTATTGACAGACATGTGTCAATTAAGAATGATGTGTGTTAACATTCATTGAGATACTAATGATTTACTCATCTCGTTTGTCCATTACCCTTACCAGTTACACAGGTCTGGCTGGCACCTTTCATAATAGCACTGTTTCTGCTTCTGCTGCCTCTGTGGATCTACATTTCCCATCGGAACATCTACACAAAAGATGTGTTGTATAATGGATGGGTCCCAGTCATATCAGCCATGGTGATAAGTAGGTGAGAGTGGCAGCAGACTTTTTTGACAATATTTTTAATTAGGGTTAATCACATTGAATATATATATATTCTGGCCTACTAGTATATTATGTTAGACATTAGGTTATTCTGTTAGGTTATTGTGCTTGCTGAGCATGGTTTGCACATGTTCAGCGACCGCGATATTTCCATGTACATGAATCAGTACGAGATAGTTGATAGACATAATGCAGCTATAAAGTGAGATAACCAAGATTCACCAAGTCCACACTCTTCGCTTGTTACCTTCTCACTGTTGCACGTATTCTGTGCAGCCGATGTTAACTGTATGGTCATGTGTTGCAGTGTAGGAGGCTTGATACTGGATGCCACTGTGGTAGTATTCGATGGTCTGGCCGTATATCAACCCGTCATAAATGGTACTGTATGGAAACCATATTGTAAATGGACGCTCGTATACGGTTGTGCTCGTAAATTCTCGCAGTTAAGGCAGTCGTCATGGTTACTCGCTCTCATCACGTCGTCACGGTTACTTGCGGCACATCGCCACGGTTACTCGCGCGCGTCACATCGCATCGTCGTGGTTCATTGCAGGAGTTGGAGGCAACCTTGTCGCCGTGCAAGCGAGCAAGCTGTCAACGGCACTGCACAAGGTCAGCCAGCCAGGCGTCGTGCCAGTCGGCGTCTTCAGTGGCTGTCCGACGCCTCTCAGCACATTCTGTGTTAACGGTGAGCCATCTTTCGCTCTCGCTGCTTCCACCCTTTTCTGCATGTTTGACTTCTGCTGTTCCTTTTCCATGAACTTCGGAATTTTTCTCTCGGAGTTTTCAATCAGATTTTAGTTAGCGTCGTTGGATATGAGTCGATTCAATTCTATCATTCTCAGGTAATAGGAGTGGTTCCACTCTGCATAGTTGTAGTCTCATCTCATTATTGGTAGCGAAGTGCTAGTCTAATCATCACAAACAATGCGATTCCTCTCTATCCATTTAAAGATTATAAATACTGACAATGCTACGCATTTCCCGTTGAGTCTGTAAGAAATTTGTGTGGCTGAGCATAGTGAAGCGTAATTGTTAACTGCCCATGACATGATTGTTGTTCACCGCTGTTTATTGCTGAATGTTCTCATCCCACAAACCTGCATTCACGCCTGATGCGCTTTCTTCAGCTGCAGGTCGCAACTACTCCCACTCGCTGTTGTTCATCGATATGTTCTTGTCCTCCGCAGACCTGAGTTCACGCACAGCACGTGTGCTGCTTCTGCTTGTTGTTCCGGGTCAGCTACTGTTCGTGTTCGTGATCAACTACATGAAGGCGGGACATACGTCGCTGACACCGGCATTCGTCATACTCTACCTGACGGCTGCGTTGCTACAGGTGAGAGGTGGTGGGTGCATGTAGTTAGTGAGGGGGAGGTGGTGGGTGCATGTAGTTAGTGAGGGGAGAGGTGGTGGGTGCATGTAGTTAGTGAGGTGAGAGGTGGTGGGTGCATGTAGTTAGTGAGGGGGAGGTGATGGGTGCATGTAATGAGTGAGGGGAGAGGTGGTGGGTGCATGTAGTTAGTGAGGTGAGAGGTGGTGGGTGCATGTAGTTAGTGAGGTGAGAGGTGGTGGGTGCATGTAGTTAGTGAGGTGAGAGGTGGTGGGTGCATGTTGCCATGTAGTAGTGAGGGGGAGGTGGGTGGGTGCATGTAGTTAGTGAGGTGAGAGGTGGTGGGTGGCATGTAGTTGTGAGGGGGAGGTGTGTGGCCATGTAGATAGTGAGGGGAGAGTGGTGGGTGCAATGTAGTTAGCTGTCAGGGAGAGGTGGTGGGTGGCATGTAGTTAGTGGAGGAGGAGGTGGT